AAAAAATAGACAGTTTCAAACTTCGGTATACTGAGAGCAACCTTATTTGAATCAACAGATTTTTTGCATTGTGACGGAAGAACAATCCTGGTCCCCAAGGTATTACGGTAGGGCATCAAAGCAATATGATCTCCATTAATTTGATATTTTGAAATTTTATACAAGTCCCCAGTTTATCAGGAAACCTGTTTTGCCACCATACCTTCATTTTGCCATTCTCAATGTTGTTATTCAACGGATGAGAGTTTCTCTTGTTCTGATCTTTTAACATAACAGGTGGATTTGGTGCTGGATGTAACGGCAAGTCTGTTCTCCCCTTTATTTGAAGGTCAGTTGGCTTGATCGGTTTACCAGGCCTGTTAGGTATGACAGGTTTCTCATGTGTGGATGATGTCAGTGGTAAGTCAGGTGGTCGTTTTGGCACCGGTTTTAATGGAAATGGGGGTTTCCTTCTGTTACCCACACTGGCAAGTGGTGACTCACTCTGTGTTATTGTTTTTTCAGATTGTTTTGTAATTGGACGACTGACTTCCTTTGGTGGGCCACATGGTGACGAATCTCCAGAAGTTGCATCGCTTAGCAACTCATAAATACATTCCACTGGAGACGCAGCAGAATGTGTTGTGGAACCTACATTTGGAATCAAATAAAAAAAAAACATTGAGCAGAACTTAAATGCAGATATAATAACCCTTGTTTTAAAAAGAGATCTTTTTCCTGGAATGATGAATCAACAAGTATAAAATGATTAAAAACTCTTAATGCGGAAGATCACTGGTTACGAATTGGGGAAAAAAAAGTCTGCTTAAAATAAAACCATTGTAAAATGTTTTTACAATTTGATAATTCAAGGACAATTATGGAAATAATATTTCGCAAAAGTCATTGTCCTAATGAAACATTCCCTGCTACATAATTTCGCTATTTTTCTGAAACATAAATTCATGAAAATCTCTATTACTCACCTGCAACTTGCTAGGTCTGACATAGTCTCCTTGGTCTACACTGTTATTTGACTTAGCAGCTTCTGCTTCTTCTCGAAATTTTTTGAGATTAGCATAAGTACCAGCTACTTCTTCATCATAAGTAATTTCTA